CTTTGAAATACAATATAACTCAGTGGCTTTATACCGGACCTTCAACTCGAACTGTTCTATAATCTTGTGACAGAAGAGTTTCAAAAAATGGAAACTGTTTGAAATTTTCAGGTCAAGAAAATATTATCGGGCAGGGCACTTTGTGGAAGATAAAGCTTCTCAGCTACGGAATGCGGAAGTGGAGGCGTGACATTCCTAGTATATGAGTAATTGCATTCATTTCTGTTTAAAAGACGTGTAAAATGAATAGACGGTTCTCATAACATGAAAAACTGAGAATAGAAATAAATTTTGCAAAATAATAACCCGAATAACATAAATATAGAGCAGAATGAGTGAAATGTTATAATGAAGTGCAGTAACAGGAGCAGTAATTCAAAAATACACATTAAGTATCCCACTACTTTATCTGGCTAATTTAACCTAAGAGGAATAATTGCAAGACTCAGTGTTTCAGTAGGCGCCAATCGAGAAAGTAAATGGGTTCCTGATTTAATTCATTATCCGAACAGAGGTACGTAAATATTTTGTTAAAATACCAGTATCAATATACCAGTACCCCTCATTCAGTCGAACATCAGTATCCAGTATGAGAAAAAAGACAGTAATGTCAAGAAGCAAGTTTTAAATAGTAACAACCCAAGTCATAAAAACACCTCCAACCTTTAAAAACGGTTTTGCTTACTACAATTACTGAACCACAGAATCTAGTATTACGGTAATTATCAGTAATAACAAAAAATTTTCATAGGGCTTGGTCTGACACATCATAGTATTTCACAAAAGAAATGTAATGTTGTTTCCACTGACTTTAAGTCAATGATGTCTAGCTTCAGCTATTTTAACTTTGCACTGTAAGTAACAAGGGTTTTTTCACTTCGCTGAGTCCTGTCTCCTTATAATTAACTAACTGCCATAATCTTTGCTGTTACTCATTTAGCTTTTCTATTTCTTTGCCTAATTAATCTCTTTCAATAATTGATGAAGCATTGGCTTGAAGAACCTATTACATTGAAAAGGATATTTGTATCACCACGTTCAAAAAATTTTGTCTTTTTTTGGTGAAATCTTTGCGTATTGTCATACAAATCGTTCCACTTGTTAAAATAGCCAAATTCCTAGGTTTCATCAGCCGGCGACAAATCTTAATAAGTGTGTCAGTCTAACAGGTTTGTAAGGTAACCAACTATAAAAAACGGGTATTCTGTTGGCAAATCAATAGGGTCACGTTTAAATCGGCGAGTTTCCTGAAAATATCTCCCTCCAGTGTCTTCTAGTGTAATACAGTATAGATGCAACAACTTTTCTATAAATAATTCTTTTATGTACAACTACTCCTTTTTGTTTTTTTTCCTTCAAATTCATACGAATAATAACAAATAATTTTTGAGATTTTTCTTCCAGCAATTACTAGGTTCCAAAAGACGCCCTATATAAATGAGCATTTTCCAGACCTAGAATGTGAATTCATCTGAATACGCAAAAAAAAAGTAAACAGTCCCTTGTCGCGGCACTACTAGAAGTTAAATTTTTAAACATGTTTATCTTTTCCAAAAAAAATGAAAATTTTAAGTATTATTTTTGATACAAAATTTAATTCAAACCCTACGGCAACAAAGGTTACTCACTCTGCTTATCAAGAAAAAGACTGCAAATTTATTAAACATCTGTGTTGAAGTTTAAGGCTCTCGTGCAAAGGTCAGAGTCATAATACTCTTCAATTCGTTCAACCCCCTAGAATCGTTTCTGCTCCCATTGCACTTACGTGAGACGTGGAATATGATATTATTCATAAAGCTATACCAAGACAAGTATTAAATTTAGTCCACTTAAAACCAATGAAACTTTAAAGCCACATATTGAAGTCTTAAGCATAAACCGCCGTTGTCACACAAACTTTGGCAGTTGGACATCTGCCGACATGTCTTCTATCTTTAACGGGCTGTTATTTGTGTGCGATTTACGAGAGACGCTTGCCAACTATTTGCAATAGCAACATATAGCAGCCCTATTGCAGTGCCGGCATCGTTGAGGATTCGTGCTATCCTTGCAGTACCATAACGTGTAGTAACTGGTTAATAAATTTCAACCTGTTAGTGAAACTCTTACCACCATTGAATTCCTATCTTTTTTGATTTATTAGATCTTCTAATTTCATTGTCGTTTTTCAAGTTAGTATTTTCGTCCCGCTACATAGTGCCTGTGAATCACGTTCGTTTTCATGAAACTTATTCGGTTCTTAAACGTTGAACTACCACAGTGTCATCGAACAAAAGCACTATAGTTTTGCTTTACGGATCCATATATGGTCACAGCCTTAGACTGGAAAAAAGCTTTTTGAGGAAAATGCCATATGCATTTGCCGTATTTATTTGTTTAGCTGGCCAAACTTTTTTTATAAGGCTAAAAATTAAATGGATCAGGAAGACATCAGTTAATTGCTTTGTCTTCCTTGGTTCTTTGCCGTTTTGCTGTTTTCTATTGTCCTAGCAATGTTGAACGATAATCCTACTGCAGTGTTTATTAGTTCAATGAAACATCATGCGCTACAAAAATGTGATATTCAGATACATAAAGAATTAGTCGTTGGCTTTTAACAACTCTGGAGTATTTTATTTAACCGTCTATTTAACAGTTTCTGCTTCCATTTTTGTGATGGGTCCCTCTGATGATCCCTTCTGATAACTTTTCCGGTGTAATTTGGACAGTTCACTTGGTCATCTTTCTTATTCCTGTGTAGTGGACAAATTTAGCAATCACTTTGGTATTATACAGTTTGCTTTCACTTAATGCAGTACGGTTATAGACCTCAAACGGTGGCAGATTTTGCGGTATTAAGTGCTTCAGACTTCCTGTCTGCTAGTGCAAGATGAATTTAAAAATTTATTAGCTGGTTGTTCTTATAACATATTTAAAATAAAACTTGAGCATTAGCATAATTGTATTTGCAGTTGTTCGCCTGTGTCGACCACTTCTTTTATCAATGGCTAACTTTGAACCGTTGCCCTTTCGCCGAAAATTTGGTGCAAACTCTGAAGAAAAAACGGACGGCAGTCACAAACCAATGGAAGAATCTCCATTTATTGGTGACTGATCATTATCATTATTATCATTTTATTTTTTCTAATCTGCCTAGGTTTTTTTGTTTGAATTGTCTTTATATTGGGGTTGGCAGTCGAGGACTTAATAGAGCTTTATTGTATTGTGCCAGAGCAGCTACTCGTTTTGCACATCGTTACTCAATTATTTAGTGATGAGAGGTTTTGTTTTCCGACTTGTTGGACATTTGTGATGTGAATTCATTAGTTACGATTTTATCAGGGAGTACCTTTTAGATGTTTCTGGTGCTACTGTTGTACGAGCTGTAGTGACTGGCGCGTGCAGAAAATGTGGATATGTTGGTCATCTTGCTTATCAGTGTCGCAATTTCTTGCAACCAAAGGAATCAGAGGCTGTACTAGACGTGTCCTCGACAAGCTCAGACTCAGACTACGAAACTCCTTTGGTTTTTAAAAGTGAGTTGGAATTTATATCAATGAAGCTTGGCATTAATTAGGCCGGTAGATACAGATTTTTTTGGAATTTAGGTTATAGATGAGCAGTGCGTAAGTAAGCATATAAGCTCTGTTCTAAAGTTTTTTCCTACTTTTCACCTGAATCTGTAAAAAGTCATACGTACCGAAACACTCTGAAAACCACATTTTATTCAATGAGGCAGGTAATTTAATCACAAAATGCTTGTACTCTGCGTGTGACACAGAAAAACTTAGGCCAAAGAAGTAGTCGTTCATACAGACATTGCAATTCAGATAACGTTTTATTGCGCTCTTTTACAGATGAAAAAAAGAAGACTACAAGTGAAAAGAAAAAAAAGAAACATGAGAAAACGAAAGGCGAAGGAGGTAAAGTCCACAAACATCATAAACGAAAGAAAAGGCGCAGCAGAAGTCACGAGAAACATGGAAAGCGGAGGAAATGAGTACTGATCATATTTGATCTTCAGAATTGTATTTTGAACAATGATTGTAAAAAAACTTTCTGTTCATTTCAGTATGACACTTTTACCGGCCGTCATGCATGCATTTACGTAATTATTTAACAGGATCAAAAGTTGTTGATGGTAATCAAGTTTTGCTATTTTTGACCCTATTATAACCTGATCTGAATTGGCTAGTTCTTATGCATACGTGCTGTTTGATACAAAGATACGTGATATCCAGATCACAATGCTGGACATGATACTTGTCGGGGATCAGTAACATTAGTTCCTGCCTACACCTACCAAACTTGTCGTTCTCTCTGAGTTGAACTCATCATTCTGTCGCTTCTCGAAAGCGCTCTTCTGGAAGTAAAAGCTTAAAAAATAATGGGACTTGAATACCACGAATGAAAAGGAAAGAAATTATGGAAAGTCGTGTGTGTGCCGGTTGATGAGGGCTGATACAGAAAAACAAGAAAAACAACCTAATTATATTCATTAAATACAACTGGTTGTATCCTCGTCTGAAAACACAGTTGAGCTTGCTTACCCACTTCCTGGTAGACTTTTGGGTACCGTGTAGCCAAACGCTGCTTAAAAATTGTAATTCTTCGAAAAATTGATTCTAGGTCCGCCTTCATTTGTATTATCATATCTCTGTATTCAACCATCTCCTTCTTAGCTGCTTCCAAACGTTTTCCCGAAAGAGCACAACAGTTCAACAGCATTTCATTAGTCTTTTCGAAACGACCAAGGCTGAAACAAAACGCCTTTTCAAACGGCGTAAACAAAATAGTAGTGCAACACCGATTGTAACTTGTGCCATACTGGAGACGCTTTGCTGGTGTGATAAACGAAGACTAAAGCTGTGTGAATTAATTCCACTCTTTTACTGTTTTTAAAAATCTCTTTAACAACTTATCTAAATAAAAATATGATAAAAGATATTATAGTCTCTTCCTCTGTTTAGAGCGTGTGGTTGTGCAAAAACAAAAGCTGCGCTTTCTTTTGTTCTCTTGTAAATTTAACGTAAGTGCTCAACAAGGGAGCAAGCAACTGTGTTTCAGAATCTGCTGGAAGGTAGGAACAGTGAGTAAAAGAACTTACGACTTTTTTTGTAGACTGATAATTGTCATGATGTTTTCCGTATCGATTTGTGAAGCTAAAGCTTCAACTAGGTGATCGCCACCATAACGCGTTTCAGTCGGCGAATGCTCCTCAAAAACGTCGTCCATACCCGTTTCGGATTTCCCCCTTTTATTCACCGACAACAACAAAATTCCATCGAGTAAAACTGAACGAAACTTGATTAACAGTTCTAAGTAGCGTGAAAAAATTATCAGTAGTAGAATCAATACTTTAACTCGTTGTTTAACGCTCACTGTACAATCAATCGAAAAAATCTATGAATTGCAGTACAATAAGTCGGTGCAAACGCCGCTTTTTTTTTGTGATAGGGTTAGGTTTTTTGCGCTCTTTTTCTTTTTGATTTTTCTACTAAATATGCCAGCGCATTTCAAAAATTTAACAAGATTTTGGAAGATATAATGATAAGGATAAGGAACGTTTTTTGATGTTTTTCTATGGATATGCTAACGTTTCATAACTGTATCTACTGACTATAAAAATTCACAGATATTCAAAGCACACATAGTTGCGAGGTATTTCAACAACGTTGCAAATCTCTAGATTACACGTATAACACTTCCTCCAGAATAATTAACAGAAAGTAATTTTGCTATCAAGAGCAACAACTCCATAAGCGAACCTTTAACTGTGAAATCTGAAAGGTTTAGGTGGCAATTTTACAGCAATTTTACAAGTTAAATATAAGACCTCTCCGGCAGTCATCCCAATCAGGTGTAAAATAATACAAACAACCAAAAAACAGTCTACCAAATACTACACAAGCAACTTTTTTCCAACTGGAGCTCAAAATCAGTAAACAGCGATTTAAGCAAGCGTACATGTCCAAGACAGTCATCTCAGAAACATACCAGAAACAATCGCGATTCTTATTAAAAATTCTGTGCCTTCAACTGTGAATTTGGGTGAGAAAAGTCTCCATGTAATGGCTATTAAAAGTTTTTTTGGATTTAATCTGCTGACCGAGAAAGAACTTAGGAAAGCTGAAGTTCGTTTCTAAGTCGCAACGCGCCTAGACAACTCTACCATCTTTCTCTAACTATCTCCTTTCCATATGGTCGTTCTTACTTTTTCCCTGGCAATAAAACTTTCTTTGCTGTCTCTTCCCATTGTGTAGTTTTTAGCTCCACTCATTACATATCGCCTTTAATCTTTTCTTTTGCACGTGGAGCAGATACAAATGGCTTCACTAAAACTAAAGAACAGCCACTTCAGCAATACGAGATTGGTGTTTGTAGGCTGTTAAACTAATCTCATCAAAGCAGCCCATCTCTTAATGATTAACTGCTTAACTGATTTTTGGAACAATGTTAAAGCGCTATTGTAACTATATTTCCTTACCAAATCCTATGAAAAGTGTATCTGTAAAAAAAATAACAGTTCCCGTTGAAGCAGTAGAGAGAGTTGAAAAAAATCGGAGACGACTTTATTTAAGACAGTCTACGAATGTCGCTTTCAGCAAAACTGTACAGCCTATACGGCCGACGTAATGATAAAAGGATGGAAAACTAGAACTGTATCGCATGATGTTCGTCTCCAACTATTTCACCTTTCTCCTTGTTCTCGCATTACCCCGTTGGTAGATTCTTTTTCCACCGCCACATTTTTTAAGAGACATCAAAAAGTCTGATTATTTCCCACATTTGTTTTTTAGGGAAAGTTAACTACCAACTAGCATGTAAATGCGAACGATATGCAGTACTTGTAAGCAGCAAGATAACAATTGCTAGCTGATTAAGGAACAGTAACTATGACATATGTTTGCATTTTATATTACATTTTTAAGACCAATATTAGAAAGCTGTAACTGCTTCGTAAGGTAATTTTAATGTTTGATCTGCTGCAGGTTGTTTAAACGTTCAAATCATTGCCCAAATCCAGTTTTAAATCCCCTGCTACAATACACTTTTTGATTTGACCTAAAAGGCGCCAAGTTAAATCAAATTTTTAATCTTTATTGACTATGGACAACAGGTCCTTATGTACTTAAACTATTTTAAGCAGAGATTTCGAACCAAGCGTTATTTGATCTATTTTTGAATATATTTTTTGCAATTTTTTACTGCAAATGACGTTCCATTACCGGTTTGTTATATTGAAACTGTGATTTTCAACGGTATAGTCCTTTTTTTGGTTCTCAAACAAAAGTGCATTGATTTTTGAATCAGACTCTTGCATTTTTAAACATTATTCTTCTGCATCAAAAAGCAATACTCGTTCCATAAAAGTTAAGAGGTCTTTCACATGACTAAACTGAAAATAAAAAAATTTAAAAAAATTGAATGAAATCAAATCTGTTTATTCATAACCATTCTGCATGTTTATTTCAGACATTTTTTTGTTTTTTTTTTTTTCATGGTTTGGCTTCAATGATCAATTTTTACTTAGTTTAGACTTGAAAAAAAGAAACTGTTGGCTGACGTTACATTTTTCTTAGTATTTCTTTCATAACAATAAGGATTCCAAAATTGGTTTCCGAAAAAATTAATTAAGAAAGGAAAAACTATTAAACGGGAAAGGTAAAAATACTCTGATTCAAAAATAATAAACCCAATAGAGCAGACGCAAGAAAAAGGGTCTGTTTTGGTGATTTGAAACCCACTGCCTTCGACACCATTAATAATCATGAAAGCAAAAATGTTTTAAATTAGTTTTGCTCTATTAATAGAGGTCTTTTGAAATGAGATTTGTAAAAAATTTGAGCAGTTGTGCAGTTGCTGGATGTGCATACTGCATACTGTTGCTAAAACTTCATAAAGCAGTTTATTTACTCTTCTGTTTTTTGTCCTTTTTTTTGGTGAGGAAAACACTTGCTTTCCTAAAAATATGCAGTAAAGGTTTTTGAGAAATCGAAAAGAAAGGATATTCATAAAATCCAACTCACCATTAAGTGCCACGCACATTTTTCAATCATAGAAGTACAAATTGCGAACAGAGAACAACATAATCTTCTACATTTTTTTTTTCTCTTCTTTTGTTTAGTTACGAGTGAAATCCGAAAGTGTCACAAGCGTGTCGCCGGTTGTCGATACCGAAAAAAAAAATTGTCTACAAACTTCCAGGAAGAAAAAGCCAAATTTCTTTTCCCAAATTATTGCATTTTCTTTTGGCACTTCCTTTTTCATTTGTTTCCTCAGAGTAAGTAGGTTTCACTGCATTCTAAAACAAGTTTTTCACATACGCCACAAATCTGCATATAGGATGAGTTAAAAACCTTCAAACGCGATTGGCGTTGATCAGCAATGAAAATTAAAGAGAGGAAAGTAAAGCCATTCTAAAAAATATGTAGATTCTTATTCAAAGCTCTACGTGATTCTTTTTTCTTGTTTGTACGCTGGATGACAACAAAAGAATCCGGCTGGCGAAATAAGCATGAAGTTTGTCGTTAGACTGCACTGTAACCGGTGAAGTCAGTGCTAGGGCGAAGAATAACCCAGGTATTCTGAAAGAGTAACTGGTCAAGTGCCCGAATTTGGATTTTTGCCAGGCTGCGAACCATCCAGACGGAATTGGGAACTGAATTGAACTATTGAAAGAAGAAAAATTGCTGAAAAGAATCAGATCTTTTAAATTAAGTTCATCTCATATGTTTGCTTCGGAACTGTTTTTTTTTTTATTTATACCGTGTTTACAATGGTTTCTCATTTTAGAGCATTTCTTCTCTGCGCTCACCTCGTTTGGGTTGTCGTTTTTTCCCATGCAGTTTTGCAATGGCGAATCGTGAATGAGGAGTTCAGGTTTTTAATGATCTTCCATAATTGCCATTTTTTTTTTTTTTTTTTCAAGTAAAAGTTTCGGTGTTGTTAGTGGTAAATCAAAAGTGCTGTATTTCCTTTGTCTAATGAATTCTTTTAACTATTAACTGATGGTTTTGAGTTCAAAAGCGTGCTTTTTTTTTTTTTTGCATTGTCAGAATAAAGCACTTTTTAAAAGGTCACTGATTTATAAAGGTGGCTACACACTTTAAATACAGGAGGGTTGCATTCCATTTCAGTGTAAACAACCAGCGAGAACAGTGATTATCTAGGACTTCTTTCGTTAAGTTTTTACGTTGGAAAAAATGGATTAAAAGAAAGGTCCAATGAAAAACTTTTAATTTTAAGGTACTTGTTAGTTAAATGATTTTTTCTTGTTGTTCTGATTCTTATTTAATGGACAAAGTCATTTTTCTTTAAAATTTAGGGAAGTGAAGCTCTTCGATAGAAATCGCATCAAAAATGAGCTTTACTTTCACCCTTGTTTCCTTTGTTTTATAAATTTATATCCCTTTTTACTTGATGATGACCAAATGGGCTTTAGAACATTTTCCACTGTTGCTCTGAAAACAGCATGCTAAAACTTGATACCCGGAAATGAACCATTTAGAAGTCCGGGGAAAAAACTCAGCATTACCAAAACCACCTCAAATACAGCGAAATTTTTCCCTATCAAGTTCGAATTTTTGAAATTTCAAAGTGCCAAATTTAAGTGCATTAAAAAATTGCAGATTTTAGAAGAGTGGAAAATGAGGCACAAAAAAGAGTTTGCTAAAAAGTTTCACTTCGCGCCAAAAGACAGAAATGTTTTCACACCAAATTTGATGACGGTCTTGAAACAACTACTGTTTTGGTTCATTTTCTTTGAATTTTTTGAGGTGTGATTACATCTGTGTAAAGGTGCATTGGATTTTAGATTTGGTGTGATCTGGTTCCAAAAAGCCTTTTGGCGGGAGCCTAAGGTTATTTAAACCGCATTTTTATAGCCGCCGTATCATCCTTTAACTGCTTTTTTTGGTGGAGCTGCTCAAGTTTGTCCACCAGAAAAAAAATTTTTTCAAAGTATTGTTGATAACGACAAATTTCTTTTCTCTTTTAAACACCTGAATTAATTATTCGTTAGTATCATACTTTTAAATATTGCTATTGGAATCTTGGAAGATGGGGAAGAAGGATACTTTGGAACTATGTAAGAAATGAATATTTTTTAGAAATTTACAGAGCTCAGAAAAGAGGTTAAAAACAGTATTTAGCTATAAAGCAAAACTAGAGAACTTCACTTAGTTTTTTTAATTGGTCTCTGACGTAAGGTGCATTTATTCCAAGCTTTGAAAAGACGAAGATTGAACAGTTAAATGAGAATCAGAATAACAAAAATCTTTTTAAAAAAAATTGGTTTTTCTTTTTCGGAATCTGCTTTCATCTTCTTTTTGTTGACATTGGGACCCAACAGAATGCTGTAAATTTGTCACTGTTTTCGCGGGGTTTTCACACCAAATTATGATGTAACCCTTCTGTATTTAATACTAAGGGTCTCATGAGTTTGGGTAAGAGTTACACGGCGTAGTATTTTCATAGGCTACTACTAAATAAATATTTCTGCTACACAATCTACCAGCATTTCTAGTTCTGTTTTTAATAACTGGAACTCATTTTGGAAGTTTGTGACATTTGATCATATTAATTTCATTTTTTCTCTCTATTTTATTCATTTTATTATTTATTTACTCACCTAAAATGGATTTTTTAGTGTTCCGGAGACGAGTTGAACACCCTTTAATCGACCTTTGTAATATGCAAGTGGCAGTAACGAACTTCATTCATATAAACGACGATCCTGAAGAACAGAGGGAGCAAAGCAGCTACTTAACGGATGATTTCAGTGGTCTGAATGGTCCTTACTGTATTGAATCCGATTTAAGTAGCGAAGAAGATGACGGCGCTCATGGTAATGAACTTCATTTTATTATATTACACTTCAAGGACTGTTTTTATGTTGCTTCCTGTAATGAAAATCAGTTTACAGTTAGTCCAGAGCTTCAAGATAGGATTTTTTATAATAGCATTATTATGGAACGGGTTATATCTTATGTCCCACTAGTCAAGGTGAGTGTGTTTTATATATCTGTTACTCGTTTTTATCACCATTTTTAGT